ATCTGTGTGGTAGACCTGCTGTCAAGAATCAAGCTGCAAGGGAATGTTTTTCTAGGGAAGCAATATCCTAGCACCGTGATGGCCAATCTATAGCACTCACAGAGCCCACTCTGCGGGCACGCCAGCCGTCGCCCCAGCCCATCTCCACTGTGCATACACATGTGGCTACTGCCGGCTAGCTGGTCTTTGTGTCTCTGCTACGTATGGGCAGATGTGGCAGGGGCATGCAGCATGTATGCATACGCGGGAGGCCTGCATGTGAAGGGGGCACTTGCATTGCATTTTGGGGCCTCACACGCCGCCGTGCCCTGTTTTGGGCCTGGAAAGCGTCTTGCACTAACCTGGAAGTCAAAAAGGGGGGCTGGGGCCCTGCATTAGGGCCCCCTCCCATGTCCCATTTTGGGCCTGGATAGCCTCCTGCACCATCCTGGAAGCCAAACATGGACAAGGAGGGTCACATGCAGGGGCTTTGTGTGTGCATGTATAGGGCTGAAGGGAGTGGAGGGGGGGTCACACATGCTTGCGTGGGGTGGGGCACAAGGGGGGGGGTGTCACACACATATCGCATTATGGGTGCATGCATGGGTGCACACACTTTTGACACATGTCAACAAAAACGTTAGCCATTACTGTCCTAGTATATGAAGAGCCAGTATGGTATAAGGGTTAAGAAGATGCTGCTTTAGAAACCAGGGGACGATTTGAGTTCTAGGCTTTCCATTAGGCATGAAAGCCAGTTGAAGTACTTTGGGCATAGTCACTCTTTTTCAGCCCAACCCACATTACAAGATGTTGACATGGGAGAAATAGGAGGCAGGAGTTAGGTTGCCATGAGTTATATATATAACAGCAGGTTAAACATCTGAAATAATTTAGTCAATTTGGTGTAGTGTCTAAAAACCTAGAAGGTTAAGGTGCTGCCTAGAAACCAAGAGATTGTGAGTTCTAGTCCCACTTTAGGCATGAAAGATGGCTGTATGACTTTCATCCAATCACTCACTCTCAGCCCAGTCCACCTCACAGGGTTGTTGTGGGACAAATACGAGGAGGAAAGAGTATTAGGTTTGCTGCCTTCAGCTACTTATAAAGTAATAAAGGTAGAATAAAAATCAAATAAATAATAAACATCTAGAGTACCACTAGCACACCATCAGGATTGTCAAAATTGCCATCAATCAATTCCAATAGCAAAATTTACTTGGAACAGCTTACATTGTGACAAAACACCATCAAACAACATCTGCCTATTCCGGGCGTTGGGAAGAATTCAATAGGTGGATAAAAATGCCAAATCCAGCCTAAGCATCTGGCTGATTATGCAACCAACAGTAATAATAAGGATGATAACATTTCTAAGGAGACCATTTTGGGGCAAAGTAAAGTAGCAGCCTTTGAAATCATGCACAAATAAAATATGAGATTAGGCGGAGGGAACCAAGGAAAAGGATTGCTGGGATATTACCCTCCCCCCCTCCTTTCTACAAGGTACTTGGGATGCCTTTATTGTCAATAGAGGGCTTTTCCCCTTAGTCCATTTCAAAGCTAATTGAAATAGCTTTTATTATATTTTAATATCTTGTCTCAACACGTCCTACTCCCTCCCGGCTTTAAAAGATCCTGGAAGTTAAGCAGACTTGTTTCAAGAATGGGGCTGTAGGTGTCATTGGGAAATTGAAAAAAATAGCCTAGAGAAAGGCAGTGGCAAATCATTACCAAGAAACTACATACATGTGTCAATCAGAGGTGGTATTCAGCCAATTCTGACCAGTTCTGGTGAACCGGTAGCAGAAATTTTCAGTAGTTCGGTGAACCGGCAAATCTACCTCTGGCTGGCTCTGCCCCCATCTATTTGCTCCCTTCCGAGTCCCAGCTGATTGGCATCCCAGCTGATTGGCTGGGTCCTCTTTTGTTGCCCTGCATGGCAGAACGGAGCTGGAAAGAAGGTTAGTGGGATGGGGAGGGAATGAGGATTTTACAGTATCCCCTGGAGTGGGATACTTCCCCTGGAGTGGGGTGGAAATTGAGATTTTACAGTATCCTTGCCCTGCCACGCCCACCAATCCACACCACACCACACCTACAGAACCGCTAGTAAAAAATGTTGAATCCCACCACTGGACTGTCTGTGAATTATTTTTTGTAATAAATATATATATATTTTTACTGTGAGCGACAGTTCTAGAATAAATGTTTGACAAACAAATTCGGCAGTTAGACCAGATGTGATCAACTGGAACAGCTGGGCCTATAAGCTTTTGGGATGGTAATGAGCTTGTTTGTGCCTCATGCCACTATAGGTTATAACTCCCTTAAGCCAGTAGTTCCAACATATTTTGATTGGTAGTTGTAAAATGTGCTTCCTTCCCCAACAGCAAGCTATGGAGAACCCTCCAAAAATTACCAGAGTATTTTCTAATGGGAAGTAAAGAAGAACAGCATGGTTCCTTTTCTATATTCTAAAAAAATCTTTAATACATAGGATTACTATTGGTAGGAAAGGGTTCAACCTACCAGATCTTTCCTCCCATGCATTTTTGTCTCTTTTGGCAATAGCTGGTTTCTAGGGCTTTATTTTTTAGTGTTTTTTTTACTGCATGTAGATGTGTGTTTGTGTGGGTAGGTGTATTCATGTGTAAAATGCTTTTGACATAAGATCAGAAAGTGAAGTACATAAACGACAATAGTTCCTGAAGTTGTTAAAGGTGGCAGGTTTAACTCTTGTGTGTCCTGGGACAGCTTGGGATCCCATGGCATCCATAGCAATCATGGCTTGCTACAGTTGATCTCAGCCCCAGCTCCCAAGAATGGGCATACACTGAACCCATTTTTTACTTTAGAAACCATGAGATGCAATCTGGATAAGAAAGATGTTATCATTTAACCTCTACTACAGATAATTTTCTTATCAATTTGCAGGTTCTGAGGGCAATGAATCTATTATAAGGGCACTTGAAAAATTTCCTGACATTTGATGGACAGCCCCGCCTCAAGTGAGACCGAAACATTTGGACAAGGGTCCCTGTGCCACCTCTTTTCAGTTGTGAACCTGGTTCCCAGGGGACTATAGGAACTAGTGAAGATGGCCTAGCGATGGCTTCATAAGACCAGAAGAAAATGGTTTTACACAGGTATGATTCCTTATTTGGACTTGGTGGCGATATGATAGCAAGGTATGGGTTTTCTGTATTTATTGCATTTTCAGATTCCTACCCTGTAGCCTTGTTCAGGGTAAGCTAATCCCTTTTGGAAAAAGGATGGAAAAGACAGAACATCTGCAGGGGCTATGATGTTATTACAGATTTGTTTGCAGATAAAATCACATACATTCACTTAAGATCAAACGAGTTGGGCAACATCTTGCAGTATTACCTGGAATTCTTTGAACCTATAGAACCTATATAGATGGGTTTAAATTATTCACATTTCTTTGAAGCAGGGGAGGTACCTCCTGTGTCGAGAAGGGTGCAATTCACCCTCTCTTCAAAAAGCCATCACTCAATCAAACCCTATTGGACAACTTCCATCCTGTCTGTACCATTCTGTTTTTGGGAAGTTGGTGGAGGAATTTGCTAGAGATATTAGAAAAGGCAGGTTATCTGGGCCTTTTTCAGTCAAGATTGAGACCTAGCAAGAGGAAGGGGAACATTGTCATTCTGATGGGAGCACTTTTGTTAGGATCTGGATGGGTGTGCATGTGTTTTATTCCATCTCTCAGTAGTATTGTTGACCTTATCTTACTGCTGGTGGCACTTTTTTTAAAAATAGTAGATTCATTTTTATTGGAGAAAGAGCAACCAAACCTTCAGATGCTTCATGTAGGATGCCACAGTGTTTGGTTTTGTACCTAAGATGAATGGGACAAGATAATTAATAACTATACAGGGCAATGTCAATGATATATCGCCAATGCAGGCCAAGTCAGATGTGTTGTAGGAGACTTACTACTACAAATGGGAACTTAAAAATGGACTAAACCATATCAGGTTAAAACGGCTGAATATCCGTAAAAATTCAGCCTAGGACATGTCAGTTCCAAGCTTAGCTCTAAATGAATCCATGTTGCCTCTGAAGGAATTCTGGTCCTCCCTGACTCACAGCTCCTATTTGAACAACAGGGGGAGGCCCCAGCTAGGAGGCTTTTCCCAGCTCCAGCTGATGTGCCAGTAATGCCCTGATTTGGAACAGGAGGCCCTGGTGAGAATGAGTGTCATCACTTGATTGGATTACTGTACAGCAAAACGTTCTACATGAGCCTGCCTTAGAAGCTATAAGGATGCAAAATGCTGGTAGCTGTAGCTATTAGAGCCTGCTGCTGCAAAAACAAACACCTATTATATGGTTGCTGCATTACCAGGAGGTGCCAAGCATTGGCACTGAATGAGATCAATTATTGCTTTCTGCAAAGAATCTGCTTGTCCTGTCAAATCAAGAAAAGGCCTGCCGCTGGGGATTCTCCTCTTCCTCTCCTCCCTCCCCCATCTTGAGAGTTAGGCGGTACATGGCAAAAAGGCAGGCCTTCTTGATAGAGGCGCCAACATAACAAAAAAGAAAGCTGCATCCAGAGATGTGCTTGGGTCTCTCCTGCTGGCTTCCAGAAAAAGCTTTCAAAACCTTTCTTTTCTTCAGGACTTTGAAGCAAAGTCTAGATATTTGCTTCCATTCTTTTGCATTTATAACATTGATGGGTTGTATAAGTGGTATAGGTGGTATGAGTTGATGTGTTTTTTTTTTTTAATGATTACTGATACATACTGGCCAGAGTCTGGAGATTGGGGCAGTTTAGAACTTTTTAAAAATAAAATGAACTAAGTAAATAAAATAAGATGTGATATAGTGCCAAGCATCTTAGAAAACAATCTTCTAAGGCTTCCTCTGAAAAACTAAATTAGTTTTGCTTTTACTGCAGGGTTTGAAACTACAATTGATGTAGTGCAGATCTTTCACCAACCATAGTTCAAGCAAAACATTTAATACTTACAATTAACCACAATACAATCAAATTTCATCATCATTGATTTTAATAACCAATCATTTATGATTCAGAAAATCACATTGTTCATTTCTTGTGTCCCTTCACATGGGGGTGTGTGTAGAAGGGGCACTATCCACAGTCTCCAAAGCCAAGAGCTCAGCCAGTGCCACCATTATTCAGGGGGAATAAAAATCAGCCATCAAAGCCAGGATAATAACTGGGGCACATCAGCAGGGAGCACACAAGAAGGGCATCTACTTGGGACAAGAACAATTTTCTTTCATAGAACACTGTATTATAATTGGCAGTGTTTGCCACAGAGAGTGCAAAAGGCTAGAACACCTAAGGCTCTTTCCAGCAAGGCATCCAGCCCCTTCCTTCTGGGAAAAAAAAAGAGGAGGAAAAAGGCAGGGGGAAGAGAAGGATAAATTCTCACAAACACACATCAATTTATCAGGTTTGTCCATGGCCCAGTAGGTGAAGATCACAAGAAGAACTTTATACATCAAGCTCCTAGGCCACCAGGAGACATTAAATAAATATATACAGGATCTGCAGTTGGCAAAGAGTTTAGTCACCCATTTTCACTTTAGTTGTCTGCAAAATACAAGAAAAGCAAAAGATCAGGAAAATACTTTATGGATTACGTATTGCTATGTCAAGTTTTGTGTAGTGGTTGGACTAATAACAAGGAAGTCTGAGTACCAGTCCTCCCATGAACTTGAGCCAAGTTGGTGATTTTGAACCAGTCACTCTCTCTCAGTCTAAGAAAGAAGGTATCAGTAAATTATTTCTGAAAACGCTACCAGGAAACTTTATGTAGTCACCAGAAATCAGAGTTGACTCAACGGACCATAAATAGCAACATCCTTTCTAAAACTATTCCTTAAACATAATTCCAAAATTCATTAAATTGGGGGTGGGGGGTTGGGAAGAGGACAGCTTTCCTCAGCCCCCTTACTTATGTTCTGAGTGATCAATTTCTCAATGCCAGCCATGACAGTTATGACTATTCTATTTCCTCACATATAATCAAGTAACAGATTTGTTTATGTGCAGTAATGTGGGGCTATTTAAAAACAAATATTACAAATCTATCTGTTTGTGATCATGAGAAAACATAACAGTCTTGGATTAGAGTAAGGAGCACTAGGAAAAAAAACCCAGGAGGATGAAATGAAAAATTCAGATCAGTGCTCTGATGTAAATGGAAGAATCTCCCTGGAGAAAATGGGTTGAAGCTATACAATCTTACTAAAACCTACTGAAAAGTTAATTTCTTGTCTCTTTCCAACTTTTGGAAGTTGGTGCCCCTAAATTCACAGAAATATCGGGAATTGCTCTTTACTGTATTAATATAACTGCCTGGGAAACTGGGATTGTAGGAAAATTTAGGAAAACAGGGATTGTAAATTTATTAGGGCTTTGTTGAAAAATAACTTTTTGCTTCTATACGAAAAGTTATAACAAGCAGACTATCTCATGGGGAGAAAAATAAGAGTGGCTTACCTGCAGGATTGCTACAATGACTCCAAAGAGTCCGATGGCACTGCCAAAGATTTCCACAATTAGGATCTTGACAAAGAGGCTGGCATTCTGGGCATCTGCTAGTGCAGCACCACTTCCCACAATGCCCACACATACACCACAGCAGAGATTGCAAAATCCTACGGTCAAACCTGCCCCAAACATGCAGAAACCTACATAGAGAAAACGGCATTAGGAACAGGCAGTATCCAATAGCATTTTCAAATTGTCAAGCTTTCAGGACTTTTCCTTGAGAATAGTGGAGTAAAAACATGATCTGAATGTCCACTTCATACATGAAAACCTTGCCTCTGAGGTTTGCCATAAGAACATTACTGCTAATATGGTGGTTTTGAACCATACAAATACAGCACACATATTATTCTGATCTCTTCAATGGTAATCTTATAAGCCATGGTGACACAGTGGTTAGAATGCAGTGTTGCTGGCTAACTCACTGCTCACTCCAGGAATTTGATCCTGAATGGCTCAAGGTTGACTTAGCCTTCCATCCTTCCAAGGTCAGTAAAATGAGGACCCAGATTGTTGGGGGCAATATATTAACTCTGTAAACCTCTTAAAGAGAACTGAAAAGCACTGTGAAGCAGTATATAACTCTAAGTGCTATTGCTATTGCTATAAGTGTCCAATCCAAGAAGACAGCACATTAGAAATTACTAGTGCAACATGCACAATCCATTTGATGGTTTTTTTCCAGATTCAATCCCTTATAAGGTTGAGAAAGATTTGAAATCCTGAAGACTAACATAGACCAGAATGAGAAAATTTGATGGTCTTATAAACTCATTTGATTAGACTCCCACAAGTAAAAAGATAAACTAGTTAAGATATGAGTTGTCACGGTTATAGTTCATGCATTAATCATAGGGCATCATGCTTCCTATGCTTATAGAGATAATAGCATGATTTAGCGATGGCATTTCTTAAGTAACTAGGAATCCATGATGCTCCTACAAAGGTAAGAGCTGTTTTCCTACCCCCCCCCCCTACAAATATAGCCTACCTGCATGATAGTTCCGGGGACCAATTTGCTCAGGGGTTCTACCACTAAATTGCTGCAAGGAAAAAAAGTATTTTATGAAACAAAAACACTTTTCCAAACAGATTAGAATAATATCTCCCACCAGAAGGAATAGATATAGCAATTATAACCAACCCCATGAGACAAAAGCCAGGTCTGATACATGCCCTTCCTTCTATCCCCAGTGGGGTGGCCCCTCAAAAACCTGGTTCAGATCTATGGTGAATATGAATTCCCCAACGCTTCCAATTTTCCACCTAGGAAAGGCAGATTAAATTCTACCAGCACCATAACCTTGAAAATTCCACTACCGATCCAGACATAGGATCAAGCATCACAGGTAAGGGAAGCTGCTACAAAGCAGGAAGAAGGCAGGCAGAGTAGCAGGAAGCCCAACTGATGCTCAAAGCCCAAACACAAATAGGATACTAGCCCTGGCATTAGGATTTACCAAAACTAATTTCTTTTTAAAAATGGGGCAACGGCAGACCGTTTAGGATAGGTTAACTCTTAGTAATGGAGAACTTTTGAACAAGTGTTTATAACTTTTGATAATTAGATAGTTTTGATAGTTGATATCTTTTGGACTAATATTTACTTAGGACTGTCTATGGAGATTTATTAGGGACAGATAAAAGAGAATCTGCTCATAAATGTAATATTTTTTGCAATATTATAATATTTTGCAATATTAATTTTTAATACCAGTTTCTCTTTCATTTGCAATGGAGATCACTAATCTTGACAACACTGTCCAGTGTTTTAAAAGCATCTGGCCAAGCTTTTATACTCACTGATGATTAGAGAGATTACCTTAAAAGCTTGAGCCATGTTTGCTATTTGCTATCTGCAATTATTAACTATTTAGCACAACACTAGAAATCTATTGATTGACTTGATCTGTATTTTGGTTTGGAATACTATAATCTACTTGGTTTTCTTCACAGGAAATAAATGGATGAGGTTAACATCAAATCAGACATATCTGAAAAATGGTACAGTCAACTTTAGCCAAAAAATATATCCCTCTTATACAAAATAGTTAATACCTCGGCCATGTTGGTAATCACAATAGCCATGATGATTCCATAGATGGCCACAGCTTCACAAAAGATTATACTGCAAGCAGAAAGAAGAGTTTAGCAGTTGAAGTGGAAAAAGAAAAAAATGGCTATCTTCCCCAGATTATATCATTATTTGACCCTCTACTTTTCTAAAAGAAAAAAAAAAGAAGGAAAAGAAAGAAGAAAGAAATGATTTTTGTGCCCCAATGCTAATGTTCTTTCCTAGATGCCATGGTGACAATAGGATATACTGTGCTGCTGGATATTGTATCACAAAGAATCTTATTACCAGCTTCAATCTGTATATGCTTACATCATGGTTTTGGGGTAGGGTTTGTGTTTGTGTGTGTGGGGGTGTAACTGAAACGAACATTTTTTTCCTTTAAAGAGCTTTGTTCAAATAAATGCCCCAATGATTTAATTCCACTGCTCTCTGGAGAATAACACTGTCCTGATGTCCTGGTGACTTTTGTAATTTTCAGTACATCTGTAATACAAATGGAGAAAAGAGTTTTACTCACCTGACCAAATTTTTGGTTTTGATCCTAGGTGCTTTGACACCACCTCCAATGATGCTGGATCCAGTGATGTAAATGCCCCTAAAAACATAAGGATTAGATAGACAGCCTTCACCATGTTGCACAGATAATTTGGAATCAGTGCCAGTAGATGGCAAATAGTTTCTTCAGATTATGCCTGTAGTATTTATTCATAAAACTCTTTATGCCCATCTGAATTTGCCTTTCAATTTCGCAAGACAAAGTATCTTATATGGGCCCTCAATTCTTTCCAAGCAAAAATTAATGTGGTTTGAAGCTACTTAGTTTCATGTACCATTTTAATATCAGTAAGTGAACTCAAAAGCAGAGGTCAGCCGTACTTGCCAGTTAGTAATGAGAAGAGGATATGAAGAAAAAAGATACTCACCATGCAGCTCCCACCACTGACAATGAAATGGATAGCCCAATACCCAGGTTAGACCACATATATGGAGAAGTCTCTGTCAGGAACCTATACATAGAAAAAGATCTTAAAATATGCCATTCCCACCCATCATACCATTTTCCCGAAAATAAAACAGTGCCTTATTTTCTTTTGAAACCCCCCACCCCGAGAGGAGGGCTTATTTTAGCACATGCGCTCAAAAGCCCGATTGGGCTTATTATCCGGGGATGTTTTATTTTCAGGCAAAGAGGGTAGTATGTGAAATCACTGTTCTCACAAAAGAGGAAAAGGAGGAATCCTAGTTAAAAACACTGGGAAAAGACATTATAGTTGTAGCTTGGCTGTTCCATTTCAATGCACAAAAAATTACCTTTTCATTCATGCAAGCAGTGAGAAATTTTTTTATTTATGAATGAGACAGAAAAAAACTATAAGAAAGTTGTGCTGAAGCTGGCATAGTAATAGATAAAAGCTCATGAAAGCAGTGAACTTGTTTGATCCATCACCTAACAGCAACGTTCCCTCTAATTTTTTTTCAGTGTGAGCGGAAAAGTATAGTGTTTGAGCGGTACATTTTCATGCCT